GCGTTTTGCGGGGCGGGCTGGACACGGGTCTCTTGGGAGCCTTCTTTGGTGGAGAGCGGGAGCGCGACGAGGACGAGGAGGAGCTGCTGCCGGACAGCGAGGCCGAGGAGCGTCTTCTCCTGCAAAGCAAAGGCACATCAGCTCCTGGCCGGCCGAACATGTCAGCACAAAGAACAAAGAACTGCGGTTGTTTGCAAGCACAGACACTGAGCCACAGACAACAGCACTTCCCAAACATGGTGGACTGTGCCAACACTGGCTTTGGAGAAGAGGAGGATATCGACCAATCTTTCACAGTTATTCTTAACTATAATAGTGAGCTAAAAATTGTTAGTGTCACCTTCACTGGCTTTCTGTCAATCTACAGGCTACAGCTAAGCTTTGCCCCTGGAAACAATTAGTTTTGGTTGGGCTCTCTAACTTTTGGGTGGTTAAGAGAATTGTCTGCGTTAGCACGTGTCACTTAACGATCTCCAGAGCAGATAGTGTGCAAGGACACTAAAAAGTTTTACACCAGGAGGTGAAAATTTCAGACAACTTAACAACTTAACAATTCAGAATCCATCTATCCATCCTTATGTTTTAGTTTTTCATCTTTACTTTGCAATTTTAAAAGGTAGGGCCTCAGAATTCTGCGGCAAAATTTGTGGCAAGTTCTGTTGCAATTGTGTACCTGCAGAATCCACCTTTGGCTGCAGAATTCCTGAGAACCTGGAAAAAAGAAACCCTACCTTGAGTGAGATAAACATTTGCTGAAAGGGTGCTCTTGTACATCTTGCAACATACATGTTTGATACTTTTCACAGTTTTCCCAGTAACTGTGTGAAATGAACATATTGACAAACTCAGGAAATAGTCATCACCTTGGCACAAAAAGGAAGAGAAATGTTCCTTCCTCAAAAACAACTGCTGTACAAAAGAAGCATCACTTTGATTCTCTTCCTATGAAAAGGTTCAGAAGCTATTCTCTCCCCATGAAGACAAATGTCTATTCTGACACTGCCAAAAGCACATCATTTACTTTGCAAGGCAGCTAAGAGCTTTGCCCCTAGAGCAATTCTTATGCTGTGAAAAATGTGACTTGCAACACCAAAGGGCAAATCTTGAGGAACCTTAAGAGAACATGAAGAAGAAACACTTCAAGTCCAAGTTTAATTTTATGTGATAGAAATACAAGTCATAATTAAAAATTTCCAATGAGTAAAATTCCCAAGTTGTTCTCATTTTTTTCCCCAGTCAGGAAAGAAAAATATGAAGACTTAAGCCAAAAAGCCCTAAGGGACATCATGTCAGCCTGTGCTGGGAGCTACCCAGAGCCATTTGAAGAAGCAAAAAAGAAAAAAAAGCTCTGAAATTGCCACTTTTCAAAAAGGTGGAATTCTCATCACTACCCTAACTCAGAAGAAATCATTTCACATCTGCAACTGTGTTCCCCCACAGCACACTCAGGAAAAGTGACAGTGCGGTTTTTCCATCCCTCTGATCACACACCTGCCACTGCTGAGGTGAGATGAACAGGGAATTTTGCTAACACAGCTACAGTTCCCTTGAGCTTTGCAGGTTTAGCACTTGAGCTGTCTCAAAAAGCAGGGCTCTTACCGCCTGACGGGGGATCTGCTCCTCCTGTGCCTGGGGGGGGGAGGCATCCTGCGGGGCGGGCTCCTCCTGCGCGGGGACGGCCGGCGCCGCGGGCTGGGTCGCCTTCTAGGGGAGTAAGACCTGTCACAATCAGAAATTCCAATGAAAAGCAACCAGCTAACTTCCAGAGTTGAGGAAATGTATCCTCGGGGCACTGAGTGCAGAGTTGCCTTCCTCCAAGTGCATCCTCTAGGTGAGGATGCCAAATGTACAGACACAATCAGGGCTTTGAAGTTTAACAACGTCACTCTGTTAAGTAGTAGAATAATAAAAAAAAATGGTCAAGTATTTTTCAGCATTTTCAGCATCAAACCCTTGTCCTACAGAAAGGCTACACAATTCTCATTATCAATATTAAGCAGCTGAATTCCTTCTCTGATCAGCGCTGGTCACCATGAGCATCTTCTCATAAATCAATACAAACAAAACACTCCCAAACACATTTATACACTAAATGCATCCTTCTCATTTGGCCCAAAACATCCACAGCTCAACACCTCTAAAAACACCACTGACCAAGAACATTAGGTGGCACCTGCAGCAGAAAACATTCCCAAGCTTCACAGTCAGCACCTGAAGCCCTACCTGGACCGTGATCTATGGCGCCTTCTGGGTCGGGAATGAGACGGAGAACGGGACCGGGACCTTGACCTGGACTTGGACCGAGATGGGGATCTCTGACGAGTCTTCTCCTTCTCCTTCTCCCTCTCCCTCTCCCGCTCCCTCTCCTTCTTTGAATTACGTTCTGGTGAAGTTTCCTTAGTCTCTGGTACAGGTGGTTCAGGTTTAGGAGCTTTTGGGATATCACTGTCAAAAATAAGGACTTCATTTGTAAGCATATACAAACCACAGCCTGCATTTTAGAAGCTGCCAAGATATTCCCCTACAACAAACGTTCTCCTGCCCATTCCCTGACAAACTGCTCCAGAATTGTGAAAAGAGTTAGAATGTGGTACAATGATTCAAGAAGAATAAGTAACATAGAAGCTACATGGTGACAACCAGCTGGAAGTCAACATGACATTGTCACAAGTGTCAATGATGAGCAGGACAATGAAATCACAGTGGCAGCAAAGCACACTGCCCTTAGAATTCTAGAGGACAAAGAAACCTCACTGAAGATTCTTAAATAAATGCTTTGGCTGTTGCAGAGGCACAGGGAGGAGCAGGCATTGCCCAAGCCAAGCTCCAATGAGGTATTAGAATAATAATTCAATTTTTTAAAGGCAACACATGGCTCTACACACAGAGCTCTCACCTGTTGGAAGCTGCCTCTTGCACAATGGTCTCCTTTGGTTTCACGGAGGGCTCTGGCTCAGGAGTGGCCTCTTTCTTCTCGGGGGCAGGGGTGGCACTGCGGCTCTTGGTGCGGTGGTGGGGGGAGCGCGAGTGG